TTCCTTCCTTCCTCCCTTCCTTCCTTCCTTCCTTCCTTCCTTCCTTCCTCCCTTCCTCCCTCCCTTCCTCCCTTCCTTCCTCCCTTCCTCCCTTCCTCTTTTCCTGTCTGTCTTTCTGTATTTCTTTCTGTCTTTCATTCTTTCATTCTTCCATTCTTAGTTAACTTCTTGCCTGATGGCTGTGGGAAAAAAAAAAAAGAAGGCTGATACTAGGAAGCAAATAAAAAGAAGCAAATATTTCTATTTCATTATTTTAAAGCTGAGAGTAATTCTAGGGGCCTTGTTCATGATTTTTGGAGTGTTGAAGTTGTGAATGCTTTGCGAGTCACCTGTGCAAATAAAACTTTGAACAATCTGGCCCTTGATCTTACTCTTCCAACTTTGAACAATCTGGCCCTTGATTTTACCGTTCCAAATTAAGTTGTTAATTATGGAGTTTTGGTTATTAACACTCTGCCTGTGTTTCATATTTGAATGGCCTCACAGAGGCTCACCTTGGGTCTGAATAAACCATCATCACTGTTAATGCAAGTTATTGAGATAGTGGATATTACAACCTCTCCGACCCAGACATCATCACTGCATGGCTAAGAATAATGATGATTTTACTGTAAGCAAAGGGACAAGGTCCTTTCCAAAGAACTCGGTGAAGCTCAGAGCAGTGATTCATAGTAGAAAGCTCCATGTGCAAGACATGGCCATGGGGGAAATGACACAGATGAGAAGTTTTTTGAGAAGGGTGTGGTGAAGTTTACAAGCCTTACATGGCAAGGAAGAATTTAAAATGGAGTTAAAACAGAGAAGAGAGATTCTCAGGAATTCAGGGGGACAAAATGGAGATTATAATGGAGAAACCAGAGGATCTGTCCTCCTTTTGGGGAGGCTGCTTCAAGTCCCCTCTTTTGTTGTTTGTCTCTTCAGTGCTTTTTCTCTTCTATTAATGCTATTGCCCATGCTGGGCTGGCCTCTGATGTGAAGTTGTCTTTGTGGCTTTTGAATCAGCTATTTACTTCTAGCCCACTCAAATGGCACTTCCCAAGCCATTATCTTCATCCCTTTCTTTTGAGATGCTCTTTTGAGTCAGCTTGTTTCGCCGGGCTGGCCTCTGATGTGAGGTTGTCTTTGTGGCTTTTGCATCAGCTATTTACTTCTAGCCCGCTCAAATAGCACTTCCCAAGCCATCCCTTTCTTTTGAGATGCTCTTTTGAGTCAGCTTGTTTCTGCTCGAACAGCTTTATCCCCCTTCAAAAGGCTTGGTGTGTTGGATCTCCAAGTCCTCACCAGAACTTCATCTCATTGGGATAACAACAAAGGACAGGGGACGGGACACTTGCTTCTTTCCTTATTAATGCCTGATGACAAACTATGTGTTCTCTTGTCTTATGATGTTATGATGCAGCCTCTTATATGCTGTCCCCTTCTTCCCTTTAAATCAGAGCTTCCTCTATTTCCAGAGACTTAGTGATTAAAAAATGCATGCAAACTTTTTTTTTTTAAAAAAAGGGGGGTTCTAATCTGCAGGCTAGAAAAAGTTGGTACCCTAAGCTGAAAAGCTCAAAGAACAGAAGGTGTATATGAACCCAAAGCTGCTGTTTAAAGAAATGCCCTGAAGTCCACATAGTTTTCATCTGATCACATAAACTGAGTGGAACTGTGCTTGTACTTTTGTGCTGCACTCCTAGCCTTCTGTGAGTTCCTTTTTCCCACTTACGTGTTTCTGTGCTTTCTTCATTGCTGTTTTTACATCACTGTCTGCAAATTCTTCTGCAGAAGTACTCTCCTTCCTTAATGCCATGAAGATCTTTAAAGTTCCTTTAGAGCTCTAGTACTAAATGAGTTCAGAAAAAAAAAATCTAAAATGCTATCAGCTTTATCCCTCAAACATCTTTATTCTCTGCTGACATAAAGTCTGTCCTCTCTCTGTGTACTCTCCGCCTAGTTAGTTTAGGCTAACAGGGCAGAGGTCAAAACAAGTTAGAAGTGGGACAGAAGATTAAAGTGTGAGATAGGGTGATCAAAGGAGATCAAAGGTGATCACCTCCTGTCAGACAAGAAGACAGGGAAGGGATGTGAGATGAAACTGAGATCGTCTGCTCTTAGCCTTCTAAGAGCAAAAGGAGGAGTATTGTCCTCTTGCAGCTTTTTTTGTTCTAGTGGGTGGATGTCTTCATCAAGCACTGCCTTCCTGTTTTCTGGTAGCAAAGCTAAGTACTCATTTGTATGATTTTTAAGCGTCTTTTCAAAACAAAATAGAAACAGTAAAAGCAAGCAAACCATCTCACCAGAAAAACCTCAACCTGTTGGGACTAAGCCCACTCTGCAGTATACTGACAATGCAAATAGATCCAGAGGATAAGAAGACAATACTCACCTCATCTATGCTATTCACTCCGCATGTCTTTTACTACCCTCCACTTTCTTTCACTTTCAGCCTGCCAGGGTACAATCAAGGCTCCCCCTATGAGATGTGGTTCCTGAGGTCCTGCCACGGCTACATTTAAAAATCCATTCTCGTAATTTTTGGGGGTGATTCTATTAATAAAGCTTACGAGCCACTGAAAGCACCGGGACTGCTGAGCCTTCTTTGTGTCTCTGCTGCTGCTGGGTGGATCGCACCTGCGAGCACAGTGGTTTCTTTGGCGCAACAAAGTGTCTCTTCAGAGGGATGAGAGAGGACAGGAACTGCAGTCTCGCCCGTGTTCCCTTGAGTATGGGTGGTGCCTAATTGCCTTTGGAAACCTGACTGGTTGCAAGGATATAGAATAATTCAAGTTAGGAGGAACCTCAGAAGGTCTCAAGTCCAGATTCTTGCTTGAAGCAGTAGCAGTTATGAGGTCAAACCAGGTTTCTTATGGTTTTTTCAAGGCGATACCCCAGCTAAGCTGGTCTCTTTTTTCAGGAGCCAAACAAGGACACCTTAGGACTATATGAGTAGTCAATATCTTTTTTTTTTTCCACTTTGGCTGCCAAATTATAATAAGAAATCTTCTCCCTCTAAACTGAGTTTAGTTTTTTTGTTGTTTTTTTTGTTCCCTCAATGCAACATTTAAATTCATCACAAACAAGAGCTTTTATTTAGCATAGTTTAAAGCACTCAGAGATTACTTCTAAGAAATACAAGGGAAATAAAAAGTTAGATCTTCTGAAAAGTGTTAGACAAGGAGGCAGCAGCGTGCTTCTTGCCAGGAGCGCTATGGTTTGAACACTCCCTCGGGATGTAGGAGAGCAGTGTCCAATTTCCACCTGTGCCTGGGAGAATGGGACTGTGGCTCCCTGGAGACTGCCCCAGCTGCCAAGCGGAGAGCCTTTCTTTGAGTATTGAAATGCATAACACAAAGTACAGTAATTCCAGTGCCAGCACCCCACACTCGAATGCCCAGTGGCTCCATGGGTCAAGCACACAGCACACCTGCAGGAGGCGAGACACCCAGCTCCCAGGCTTCAGTGAGTGCTTGAGCGTCCAGAGCAAAATATTGTCAACAGGCGAGGCTGAGAACCCTTCCCTACTCCTACACAAGAACATCCTGTAACTTTGCGATTAGGTCATTCCTATGGGAACTGTTGGTTTGTATCCACTCAGGTAGGAGAAGGAATTAACCCCAAATCTCCCCAAGACTGCGTGCAAATGCTCAAAGCACTGATAAAGAGACTGGGTTAAGAAGGGACTTTTCCTCCATCCTTTTTTTTGTTTTGTTTTGTTTTTTTGAGTGTGTGTGAAAATCTAACTTTGTTTTTCTCCCCTGCTGAAATTATTTGGTGATTTTCTAGCTGTTTTTCAGCTGACCAGAACAGCATTTTTTTTCATCCAAAGTGCTCTTTGCTTAAAATAAGCCTTTTATGACTAGGCAGTGAGAATTGGAGCCAAACATATCTCCCATTGTCAGCAGCAGGAAGCAGCAGTTGCCACGGCTGAGCTGGGGGCACTGTGAGTGGGATAACGTCTTGCGAATGAAGAGACCTTTTATTAATACTCCATTTACCAAACATTGGTCTTCTCTTCTTGGAAAGTCCGCAGAGCTCATTAATCCTTTATGTACCGAAATCTAATGGACATTCTGGAAAACTAAACCGAATTTGCCTAAGCTGTGTAGCTGGGGCATATGAGTTAAAGAACATGAGTATGGTCATTTAGAAATACAAATGCTCTTACTTTACTTCCTCTAAGGAAGATTAAGCTATGCTGGACTTTTTTTATTATTATTCAGAATGCAAACAGCTATAGAGGAATTTAATCCAGCTACTTAGACCTCCACATAGTTTTCATGAGATGAATGTCCCTTTACAGACAAACACCAAGTGAGATCCCAGTAGCAGGTTTGTGTGGGGACACAGCTGAGAGTGCAGCTTGTTTTGTTTGGAGTTGGTCCAATCTTTTAATATAGCCAGCGATGGTATAACGTGTCACACTAGTTCCTTTCATTGGACGGGGTAAGTCCCATTTGTCCATTCTTGCTTGAGGTTTACAACAGGGAAACAGAGTGATAAGGTTATACTGGTATCTATTTGTCTAGTGCAAAGGCAAGGCTGAGTTACCAGTCAGAGGTTAGACAGTTTTGCACAAGCTAAGATCTGCTGTGCCATTTGATCCAGTATGCCATATGAGAAGTTTTTGGGACATGGCTTTTCTGCATATCCTTAGCAGCTGCTCAGCAAGTCTTCAGGAAATTATCCTTTCCCAAGGGAAAAGGGAGCAAGATCAATGAAGACAGATATGTCTTCGGCATGCTGACCACCACACACAGTGGACCTTCTTACAACATTCAGGCAATGAATTTGCTACCCTAATTTAAATGAAGTGTAGAGCTTATCCTTCTAAGGACCTTAGATGCTACCTGCTCAGCACTAGGTGAGGTCCCCTGATCCCAAAGGTGACTGTACTTTACCCTGTGCATGACCTGAGATAGTGGACCTTTCTTCTCTCTCTCTGAGTATCCTCTCCAGAGGCTGGATAGTGTAGGAAGCTGTGGTGACAGAAGAGCTGCCTAAGCCAACACACAGCCTATGTTAGCTTTATATAGAAGGGAAAGACAAAAAAACCCCTCATGGATGGCTGGCTCTAAATGTCCTCTGCCAGCTCAACGGGGCTCACATTCAGCCTTCAGCCTTACACTAAATGCCTCCTAGCTCTGTCCGCTGGTCCAGCCCAATCTTCAAAACACCGTTACAGAGAACGGAGTGAATCTGCTGAAGTGTGACACAGACCATATCAGGCAGATATCCATCAAATTCATCTGCCAGATCATCTGCCAGATTTACTTGCCTGTATGTCTCTCATTTATATCTCCTTTTAGTCGAGAAATGGTCAAAATTAATAGAACTTGCTGTCAGCAATTACATGCAGGGGAAAAATGTATGAAGATCACAGAGTAGCTCAAAAGTGAAGCATATGGCATTGGACGATCTTGATTTAGACTATTTGTTTTAATGTATTTCAAAACAATCTTTAGTTATATAGCAGCATCCCATTCTTTCCCAGGGGCACTCTGCCCCTTTCCCAGGCCAGGATTTTGGAGCCATTGCCTTGAAAATAGGTTACGTATTACTGTATGCATTAAAAGTATGCACAGCATTTAAACCTGAAATTATTGGAGGGAAGCCCTCCAGACACTAAAATTTTTAATCTGTAGGAATAGAGAGGAGAGGAAAAGGCAGCTTACATACATGCTAGAAGAAAATTTGTTGCCAAACCTTTAGTTGATTAGTTTACTTGTGTAGGTGAAGAGGTATATAGGTGTATTTGTGGAGTAGTTCACAGTGAGAGATTTTGTCAGCATGAAACCTGGTGCAGAATGTGCAGAAATCCCCAGTTTATAGCTGCAGAGCTTATTGTATCACTGGTCAGTGACTTCCAGCAGCTCCATGGGATGAGCATTAGTTAAGGAGCGGGGTCCTGCTTTGCCAGCTGTGGTGCTCATGCCGACCTTCTCAGAGCCCGGCCCTTGGGGCTCTGCCTCTCGAGGTGCCTCGGGGCTGCGTTGCCTTCAAGGACGGGAATGATGCACCCGTGGCAGGAGCATTTCCAGCATGCAGCTGCGTGTTGCTCCAGAGGGTTAGCACTCTTCATGGAGAAAAGAGGTGTTTTGCCAGCTTATATCAGTTTCGTAGGTGGACACACACAAATCCTGCACTAAAGGAAACTGATTTGGAAAGCTAGTCAAGGGTACAGGGCTGCAAGCGGCTAAGTCACTGCTGAAGTGCTTAACAGTGCTAATCTTCCTCCTCTTAAAAAAGTGTTGTCTGAAATAAACCAAAGTTAGACCTGACTTTCCTCGTGGCATAAGCTACATGAAAATACTGAAGCGCACGTCTATTAATTTACAGGATATTTTATGAAGACGAATATAGGGACTAAAGGCAAATATTGCAGCAGTGTTGCTGAAGCTGTGATGCTCTAAAGATACAACTAACCTATGTTTGCAGAGCAGTACGTTTTATTAGACCAACTGATACAATTAGAAAAAAAATGATAAACAAGTTTTTCATCAGGTCTGAAATTGAAGCATTTTACCCCAGTTACATACAGTTGCTGTCAGCTTATTAGCTTACGGTAATCAATCTGGCATTTTGAGAATAAGGAGTAGTTGGTACCTGCAACACAAAGAAGAGTGTAAGCAAGAGGCGGTGGTAAATGCACTAGTCCTGTGGGACAAAGATAGAAACAGTTTATTGTTATTGAAACCCTTTTGTTATGATTCAGAGACCTTCTGATTGCCACACGGGATCATTTACCAGCCAAACCTTATGCCAATAATACTTACAAAAAGTGAAACAAACGGAAGTTTTGCATTTACGTCAAATCCCAGCCAGGACAGTGGGTAGGGGAGAGGAAATTCACTGGTAAATGGAAAAGGAACTAAACAAAATTGGCAGGGAAATAAATGTTATTTTCCAACCTATAATAGGATATGACAAACAATGGGTGTAAGTTATAGTTATTTATAAAAAGGTCCTTTTGGAGCAGTGACCTTCTTCTCTTTCTTTTGTAGAAGATGGAGGTCCACCTCTCCAGGGAAGGAGGGTAAGCATAAACTGCTTTAGATTTAACACCTTATTCCTCTCCTTCTAGGCTATGGGAACCTAAGCCCCAGCACTGCAGCTGGTCGAGTCTTCTGCGTCTTCTTTGCAGTTTTTGGGATCCCCTTGAACCTTGTTCTCTTGAATTCAATCGGGCAGCTGATGCTGTCAGGAGCTCAGCACTGTGCCCATCACCTAGAGGAGAAGTTTCACTGGCAGGTAAGCAGTGTGGCCAGCTATGTCTTGTCGACAAGATCAGGAGAGAAACATCTGGTGTTTGGGATGCTTCGACTAACAAGAACAGACTGGCTAACTAGATGGCCAAAAATGGAATAACACTCAGGAATAACTGGAAGTGAATAAATTTAGCTTATGACAACCCTCTGAGGTGTCAGATAAGGTTGTTTGTTAATTAATGTAACTTGCTCTGATTAATGGCTTCCCCTACAGCAACAGAAGCACCTTAGAGCTATTCACAGCCCTGGGATATCTGATTATCATCAATCATAGCTAAAATTACACGAGATTTATGCGGAGCATTTTGGCATAGCCTTTAAAATGGCATGCATTTAGAACTCAAGAAAGTGATGCCCAGTTTGTGCTTACTGGAATAGCCATACCATTTATTCCAGTGGAATGTCACAAATGTTTGCATGTTTTTATGGAGTCCAGCATCATCTTCAGTCAGGAATTGAGCTCGACTCTTTGCTCCACCTTTCTTGTGACAGTGTCATCTTTTTCCTGTTTTAATAGAAAAAAGCTACGCTCCTGATTAGGGTCTGTGCACTGCTAATTGGCTTGTTACTGTTCCTCCTGCTACCTCCTGTGTTGTTTTCTGCCAAAGAAGGATGGAGTTATGAAGAAGGCTTTTATTATTCCTTCATTACCCTAACCACTATAGGTTTTGGAGATTATGTGATTGGTAAGTAGCTCAAATTTCATTGTTTTCACCTAGTAAATATTCAAGCCAAATGTGTGGCATATTAAGCTCCCAACATGGCAGTTTTCTACCACTAGCAATTCTCAAACTGGATAACAGATCCATTGTGGTCAGCATCTGACAGGCTGAAGAAGGCATGATTTCTGAGATAGTGAAATCACATGTGGAATGAAAAAAACAGCTATTTCAAGGTTAATGAGCAATTTTCCAGCATCCGAGTATTCCTTGAATGACTGTGAGACCAGGTCATAACGCTGCTTTTTTAATCACTCCATTCTTTCATTGCACATTTGCTGGAAGTACTTGGCACTAGCAGCATTTAGTTTTAAGTGGAGACTACTCTGCATTGCCCTTAGTTATCATTTCCTCTGTCAGAACTGCAGGTGACTAACTGCATCCTAAGTCACCTCTGTGGAGACTGTCAGATATCAGGCACATCTTGTTGCCAAGACCTTTTGCCAGAGGAAATGGGATTGGGCCCTTGCCTGATGCATTCACCGAAACACAGAACACACCTCTGCTTAAAAACTTTCTCAATAAAAAAAGAAATTGATTATATCAATACATCCATGCTTGAATTTCTGAAAGATAGAAAGGCTTTGATATGAGCTCTTTATTTTCGTTTTTTCACAATGCTTGTTGGATGCTTAGAAAACTTAGGGATGGATATCCTTTTTTCATAATGCATCAAAGGTCTGACCATATCTTGTGCAGATGCCCTTAAACAAGCTTGAATCAAGTTACCTTGGGTAAATGGCTTGGGGAGCCAGAGCTTAACAAAAACTAGTCACGTCAACATTTTCCTAGGTTGACTTTATAGATGTTGTTGGACCCTATCCTGTAGCAGCTTTACTTTTATCATTTCTTGCTAATTTTGAGGCACTTCTGTAGTATAACCTCATATTTCTAGTTGTGCTTTCACCTGGGTGTTACTTGGCATATCACTATAGCTAAATTAGGTACAGTAACCACCACAGATGAGTGAGGTCCAGTATAGGAGTAACTGGATGCATGTTACTGACCTATGGCATGTCAGACCATTTTGGCTTTGCAGTCCTGTATTTCTGGTTTATGTCTTTACTTTTAAACAGGGCCAGGGTGTAGGTTAAAGCCCTGTTTTGTGACTGTCATCACTAGTGGATAAAACTGGTTTACCTCTTTGCCTGTCGGGAACAACTATTGCCTACTCGAACAGTATTGTCATGCTGAGTGATAACTGTACAGATAAAACTGTACAATTGTAGTCACATCCATGATCATGTAAAAATCACTTTTACATAGATATATTTTTATGGGTGATCTTTACAATTCCTAGTGTTGCTGACTTGTCTGTGAAACACTGAAACACTTGTTTTACAGTATCTGTTGATATGCTAAGGAGGTAGCATACTCATGTTTTATATGGGAATCATTAATATAGGTAATATTTCCTCTAGGTCTTTTGCTAAGTGCTATAGTTAGTCTGTATTTCTACTTCCCCTGTGATTTATATGCCATCTGAATTATAATCTTTGTCTGAACTCCACTTTCACCATGCAAGATGACGGTAATGAGTCCATGGGTTTATGTTTTCTGTTAATAATATGTTACTAACGAGTCATGACCAGTAGTTATTCCTTCACCAAAGAACTTCCCTGACTGATTCTGTGAACTGAATCTTTGCTTTACATGTAAAGACTCTCTTTGAGTCACTCTTGGTCCAGTCTAGAAATGCGTTGCATGATTTTCTTGTAGGGATGAACCCAGACCGCACCTATCCAGGCTGGTACAAGAATGTAGTTTCTCTGTGGATCCTCTTTGGGATGGCCTGGCTAGCACTGCTTATCAAATTTTGCATCAACTTACTAGAAAGCTCCAGTGACTTCTGCCAGTGCAACAAGAAGAGCAAAAAGCTGGTGGAAGACTTAATGGATGGCAACAAAAAAACAATGACGGGACTTGATGATATGGAAAACTGCAATGGCAAGGACCCAAAACAAAAGAACCAGACTGAATGGCACAAGCAAACAGTTCCTGCAGAAGCACTTTAGAGAAGAAACATCCCTTTGATGTCTCTAAGGTGTTAATCCACCAGAGGATACTGCCTAGAAATGTGTGAATGAAGCTGCCCTAAAGTTCACATGGAAATGAAAACTTGTTTATTGACTCTGAAATGCTTCTACTTTGAATTGAGCAATGATAACAAAATCTTTCTTTTGTGGCACCACCAACAATTAATCAGCAGAATGCTTAACTAAAAGTCAATTTGCAGAAATAATACCTACCCTCCCACTCCAGTATATAAGGTACACTTTGACATCTATGCCCAATACTGGCCAGTCTCTTTTTCTTTGCATGGAAAATTCTTGGAGCCTCTTATTTCATGTGTGGCATTTTGCAAATGCCACAACTAGAATACCATGTGGCATCTAATACAGAAAAACATATTTCTTGCTGTTAAAATTAAGCACTATTTTAAAATGGTCTGGCAGCCACTGCAGACGTGCTCCATGACCAATATACTTGTACTTGCCAAAGGTGATAACATTCTTTTGCTTATCTGATTACTAGTTCCTAGACGGCAATGAGGCTGAGCTTGTATACGTGCCTTACAGGGATGCATTATTCAATTTCGTGAAGGACATTTCTGCACCAGATCAATAAAAAAAATCAATAAAAAAAAGAGACCAATAGGGTAGGTAGGCCACTCCAGAATTTATGCAGGATCATCTTCTGTAAAGTATTAGGCAGACCAAATCTTATCAGCTAAATGTGCTAGTTTATTTAGGTAGAACTTTTCTTTTAACTTCTTGGAAGCTAAAAAAAAGGAATAGAAGGGCTAGAGGCAGTTTTAAATGCCAGTGGTTCCAGGATTGGCACAGGCTCAATGTTAGCATGGACTACTTTAATCTAGAAACAGACTGAAGTATCTTTGACTGTGATCAATGGGAAAACCCAAGAGATGCTATTCTAATGAGTTGATGGCATATATAAGTGGTTTATTTGTTATTGTTAATGTCTTATATAAGCACCATTATTTTTTTACCTGTGGAATTACAGACCTGTTCACATCACCACTGTGTTATGTGTTAATCATGAAGCTTATTTTTTTTTTTAATTCCAATAAAGCCTCAGAAATCTTTTGATATATTGTGCTGTTTTAAAAGGTCATTTCTGTTCCCGTTGTGCTACTTGCAACCTAGAGCATTAACTTTGAAAACTCGACCATAGCAGTAAACCAAAACAAAGCATTTGGAAGAGTCATCAGCTTCTGCATCGAACCAATATTCCACATGGACACTGGAGAAAAGAGAAGCCAGGCTTTTGGAGTACAAGGCTGACTAATTAAAAATACAGATTGCTGGATTGCTGGAAATGCAGTGAGTAAAATGTTTACAATGTCCAGGAGTGCAGGTTCTGGAACATGTGTCATGAAAAAGATATTTCCAAATAGTCCAGCTGGAGTGTTGGTATGTAGTTGAACTGACTACAGAGAAGCTGCAGGAAAGGAATCCACCACATCAAACTGTGTCTGCCTGCACATCAGCCTCTGCCTACTATAGGAATAAGCAGTCTCTCAAATATTGTTTCAATGGAGTGAAAGGGGAAATCTCCCTTTGGAAATCTCAAGTTACAGTTGGGAAAATGCTGAAAAATAAATATGCTTACTTTTTTTGAACACTGGGCTGTTCTCTAACAACATTTAACAAAAACTTATCTGTTTCTCCCATGTCTTTTCATGTTTATTTTCACTGATGGATGCACAATGAAGTTTTTACTGATGGACTGGCCTACAACAAAACCAAAGTGTTTTTTTTTTTTTCTGATCCTAAGTAAGTGAATCAGAATTCCACAGCAGAAAAGGTGGTACCCATAAAAAGGTGGTACCCTTTTATGCATATCCTTTGTACCTTCTTCCAGGTTCAAAACTCACCAAATACAGCTGCATCATAGAACACACATGCCCAAAAGATAGTAAGAATCTCTGCTGTCAAAGGACAGGAATGACTCTGCTAAATCTATCTCAGGATTAACGTAAAATGTTACAGGCTCTATTTTCTACCAGCTCTGTTGTTCCATAACAAAACTTACCCTAAGAACAGTTTCTTCTTTTCCATTTAAATGTCTCTTTTATGGATCTCATCTGCTCCTTCATGATTCCTAAATATTTAGCTTGTGGATGAGGTTTTCAGAGGCCTCAGACATTTGGACACACACTCCTCAGATTTGCAGAGTTGCATGCATTAAAACTCACTATAGGCTTGTGAGAGGGGAAAGGAAGAGGAACTCCAGGAGTAGTCCTGAAAAAGGAAAAAACAGTAATTCTTCATAGATCTCAGTACTTCCAACGTATGTCAGGGTTCAGCCACACTCTTGAGCGTGCAGCCATATCTCAAGGTGACGCAGTATCTGCCCCAGCAAACCTTGCTGATTCACTTCCTTCCTCAGCTGTGGTGTTTTATTACCCAGCCGCTCACCACCAGCGTAATCCTGCCTCTAACTCCTGCCCAACGGCCACATATCTGAACAGCTTGCAAGCCACGTGTAACTCCAGAGCTGCAATCAAGTTGCACGCCTGTGCACTAGATCACCTATGTAAATATGAACTAGCAGTGGGACGAATACCATCACTTGCTGGTTCTCTGGCACCAAATTAGCATGTTGTCATTTAGGAATACCTTTTTATTGACAGTTCTTCAGCTACCTTTTGATACAGACAACAGATATTTTTATATCTGAGTCCCTACAAACTCTTGTAACTTTAGCTTTTGTGTTCTTTATAAAGCTGTGTTGTGGTTAACTAACATGGATAAATATATTCCCAGAGGGATGAGAAGAAAACAGTTTTGCAATATCATAGAAACATTATCACCCCTGTGCCTTCTCTACCAAAATACGAAAGGTTATCTGCTCAAGAGTAAAATAAAGACAACAAAAGCATGGTGCTGTTATCATTCTTGTCACAACTGACTTGCAGTCTTCCATAATCTACATTGGAAAATTACAGATGCTCCTTGATTTTTTTTTTTTTTGGAGGGTGTGGAAGAGGGACAATGTCTCTTCCTGTTCAGATAAGTGTACCATTTCCATTAGTGATTTCAGGCTCATCTTTCACTGTTGTTATTCTTCACTAGTCATTTTTTTCCTATTATCCTGTGTTTTTTCTTTTTTTTTTCCATGGGAGGAGTAGGGGCTGGAAACAGGTTTGGTTAGTAATAGTAGTTGTAAATATTTATGTAACATCAGCGTCCACATGCCTTTTCACAATCACAGAGAGCATAATGTGCTTCTGACCTTTATACAGTTTCCCAGGAAATGAATCCGTTTTGAAGCAAGAAAATGGGCCTCTCCATCTTCCCTACTCCAAGAGCAAGTCCTGGCTTCAGCCTCAGTGTTTCTCATACTGACTCTTTCAGACAGTCTGAAAAAGATGTTTACCCCTTAGGGTAATATGTCCAGAATGTAAATATGTCCAGAAAGACGTAATATGATGTTACAGCAACATAGTACAGACTGCTCAGAGCTAGGCAGTTTTTAATAGTCTAATTGATTACAGTATTTTAAGATCCCTAGTGTAGAGTGCAAAAGTAAAAACTTTTTCTCTACCCATGCTGGCCTCTGAGCCAAAGGAATCCAAGAGATCATTTTTCTCCCAGCAGTGGGCTGCTGAGGTCTTTTTTGAGCTGGTATGTGGGTTCTGTGTTTCAAGCTCAAGCACTTCTGTTCCACATTTTCCATAAATTCATGGTCTGCTCCATCTCCAAGCTATCTCTTGGTGCCAGTCTAGTTGGAGGCCTGTGGCCTGTGCTGTCCCCCATGGGTCAGTACTGGGCCCGGTGCCCTTCAACTTGTTCATCAATGACTTGGATGAGGGCGCAGAGTGCACCCTCAGCAAGTTTGCTGATTATACCAAGTTGAGTGGAGTGGCCGATACCCCAAGGGCTGTGCTGCCATTCAGAGAGACCTAGACAGGTTGGAGAGTTAGGCAGAGAGGTTCATGGGGTTCAACAAGGACAAGTGCATCTGGGCAAGAATAACCCAACATCAGTACAGATCAGGGGTTGACCTGCTGGAAAGCAGTTCTGTGGAGAGGGATTTGGGAGACCTGGCTGACGACAGGTTAATCATGAGGCAGCAATGTGGCCTTGTGGCCAAGAAGGCCAATGGGATCCTGGCCTGCATCAGGAGGCGCGTTGCCAGCAGGTCAAGGGAGGGGATCCTGCCCCTCTACTCAGCTCTGGTGCGACCGCACCTGGAGTATTGGGTGCAGCTCTGGGCTCCCCAGTACAAGAGGGATGTGGAGCTTCTGGAAAGGGTCCAGCACAGAGCAACAAAAATGATTAAAGGACTGGAACATCTATCCTATGAGGAAAGACTAAAAGTGAGCTAGACCTGTTTAGCCTGGAGAAGAGAAGATTGAGAGGAAGGCTTATCAATATGCACAAATACCTGAGAGGAGAATGTAGGAAGATTGGGGCCAAACTATTCTCGGTGGTAGCCAGCGACATGACAAGGGGTATAAATTAAAACACAGGAAGTTCAATCTCCATATCAGGAAGAACTTTTTAACTCTGAGGGTGACAGAGCAGTGCAACAGATAGGTTGTGGAGTCTCCTTATCTGGAGATCTTCAAAACTCACCTGGCTGCGACCCTGTGCCATGTGCTCTAGGTGTCCCTGCTTGAGCAGGGGAGTTGGACTACATGATCTCCAGAGGCCCCTTCCAATCTCAACCATTCTGTGATTCTGTGATCTCCATGGACTTATAGAGTACAGTCACAGCATGCCTGAAAGACCTGATGCTTCCCAAATAATGTATCTTCCCCAAAAATGTATCTTTCCAGTCTGAGTGAGCTTAATAGGGTCATCTTTCTATGTGTATGTTTTTCTAAAAATGTGCAGAGTTTTCCCACATCTCTTCAGATTTCAGTAAAGATTTCAGTTCTGTTGTCCTGCACAATTTGTAGACACTAATTCTTTTTCAGAGATCTCACAATTAGAGAACAGTTTTATACGAAGTGTCGTTCAAAGCATATACAATTAATTTAGGGTGGTTTCTTCTTCACCAGATGGCTGAAGTATATTGTGCTGTTCCAAAAAAAAAAAAAAGTGCAAT